CTTTTTCCTAAATTGCAATTGTAAAACTAATTTTTCACATAGCCAGTTGAAGTAAATCATCTCACTATTAAACACTTAGAAAACTAATAAATGCATTCGATTTTCAATATGAGCTGATTATCATTAATTAAATAACAGTTGCATTTATATACAGAAAATAACCCAATAACCAGAAAGAATTTGGAATATTATAAAAAAAGTATTAAAAGATTAATACTTATTGTTTTGTATTTTTTACTAAAAGAATAATTTGAACATTAGTTCTAATGCTAAATATTATTGTTCACCTTTAATACTATATTCTCTTCCACATACTAGACTTGTAGTGTATCTACCACTACAAAAATACATTTCCAATTCACTAGTATACAAGACATGTTAAATAAATTCTATGTTGGGGTACCTTTTCATAGATGAAGGTTGACATTGTTGATATCTCCTCTCCCGCATTGGTGACCTTCCGAAGTAATGTGAACATGCCTACTTCTTTGGATAGTCCCCATTGAACAACTGACTTGTGACTGTGACATTATCTTTCCATGCACTACCCAGTCTCTATCACACACAATGTCAGCCTGTATACACTCGAACTGCTAATGGCAACACAGGAGCGACCACAACCGTGAACTTAATAAAGCTCTCACGATCAGCACTCAAAAGTATGGTGATCTTAATGCAGCTCTCCCGGCTCCTCACAAAACTGCAATGAATCAACTAGTGGTATTCCTTTCACCGAATTCTATCACAGATAAAATTCCGGTGGGGGAGCACTGTAGTGTACCTACCACTACAAAAATACAATTCCAATTCACTAGTATATAAAACATGTTAACTAAATTCTATGTTTGGGTACCTTTTTATAGATGAAGGTTGACATTGTCAATAACATCTCTCCCCACAGACTTTAACTAACATTAAAACTCAAACTCAACAAATTGCCAAAACATAAAAATCTTTTGCAACATGCAAGGGAAAAATTATATGATTTGCAATAGCTTTCCACTTCTTCGATAAAACTGAATGTTGATCTCAATAGTTAGCTATAAAATGGAAAATATGCAGCAGAATTGCCAAAAATAGCAGAAGTATTTTCTTACTAGACAACTTCGCTATAGCTTATGTATGTTTGCAACATAAACATTTCAAGATTGTAAGAAGAAAACAGTGTGAAATATTTGTTTTTCACCTATATTGTTAAAAATTGTTGCAATAGGGGAAGGGCAGTAATTTTTAACTTGTTACAATCAAACATTTTCTGTATATTTAATATTTGCATTTTGAATGGGATCTCATAATATGGAGTACTTAATGTATTGAACATTACAGAAAAATCATAATAATCCTCTAAAACAGAAAAAAAATTTAAGAAAAAAAGGTGAAACCTTTGCAAAAATTAAGTGTAACATTAGTCTTTAAAATGATCATAATCAATGTTCCAAATTCTTGTTTCAATACTGTCTTAATGCATGCTTTTAAGATGTTCACAGAAAGAGCTGAAACAATACGAAGTTTGATAAGAAAATGTTTTTCTTATAACAATTGGGAAATTTTTTTTTNATAAATTTTATGTATTAATTAAATTTCACATATGAATATAGGTTTTTGACATTTTCGACAGTGAGGTTTTTGACGTGACGGTTTAAACCATGGTTTAAACTGTCACATGTCAAAAACCTGCCAACCCTGATAAATACCATGCCAACTCTGGCAGCATAAACTAAAACTATTATAATATAATACATGTACAGTAGAACCTCGATTAACTGAGGCAATAGTCTAATATTATTTTTTATATAGTCTATAGCAATATTAGCAATAGTATTAATATTATTAGCAATAGTCTATAATATTACAAAGTCTAATATTTTTTTTCTCCTTTCCAAAATGAGCTTTGAAAAAATTATACACATTTTAGATCGTTGTCCGTGTCATTGTATTTTCTTGAGATTAGTGTTATTTTTTAAAATGTGTATTTCGATATTTAACTAAGTATAGTTAAAAAAAATTCCATTTTACTTTCTAAAATTTACTACAAGAGTTGATTTCCTTTTTAAATCTTTTTAACTGGGAAACATCATGTATATTCCTATATGTTTATTTTTATCATTTAAAAAACGTTCCATTGTTTTTTACTTTAAAGGAGTAGTTAAATTCACAAGCACGGAAGATTTTTATACATGGTTTATATTAACCGAGATTTCCGATGTCCGAGGTACTAGCGGTCCCAATTAGCTCAGATAATCGAGGTCTTACTGTAATTACGAAATTTATTCCACTAACTAGACCTGAAAATTTAAATTTTCAGCTAGTAGCCAATGGCAGGTAGACAATAATTTAGTAACCACTTTTTCCTCAAACCTAATGAATTGGTGACAGATTTTCAATATGTAGGTCCTTTTCATTTAATAGCCACTATTTCTTATTCATTTTTTTTAGCTTGGAATTTTAAAAAAATATATAAAATAACTGATATTAGAAATAATCTACTGCGTATAAAAGTTAATTCAGCAATAAAAATAATATAAATATATGAAAAAATTTACTTTAACATACTGATCGAAAAGAACTTTTTAAAAAAAATATTTGAGGTAAAACACGCAAATGAAACGTGTGAATTGTTAAACTCGCCTTACACATGTGAATCTCTCCATCACACACTGATGGATTTTGAAGGACTTAAATTTTGAAAGGAGACATTGAGCATTTTAATGAAAATTCAGTTTTCTCGAATCTCTTTCTGCATTAAATGCAATCATAAAATACTTTTTTTTTTTTTTTAAATTACTGGCTGTTTATTTAAATAGCCATTTTTTTTTTTTGTTGACTCGCCAGGTGATCATTTCAGTACTACTGACATTACTAAATATTGCAAGTAACTTAATTAAACCCTGAATTAACTGATTGAAAAAATTACTAACTCATTCTAACAAACATTTATATTTTTTATAAATCATAATAGCTTACTTATTGGGGAATTACATTATAGCTATGATTTATTGGAACTATTCATGTACATAGGGCATCATGTATCATGATTGCAGAAATTCTCAGAGCCTAATAGTTCCTAAAAACAAAGTTTTATTTTGGATCAAAATTTCATCCCAATTTTCTTTAGTGTATTAACTTTATCAAAATAATTTTGGAACAAAAAGTTTATATAGTTTTACAAAAATTTTAATAATAAAAAATTTAAAAAATTATTAGATTTTACGCAATTCTTGATTAAACAAACATATAAGTTAAAAATAATGGAATTCTAAATATGTTGAAAATAATTTAATAACTTAAGGAATTATAGCTAATAAATACACAAATTAGGTAATATATAATACTTTTAATGAGGAGAAATTTCCCAAAGCAACACATTTTTACCAATAAAAAATATCCTAGCAATTTTTTTTTAAGGCAAAAATTTCTTCATGACGGTCTGAATTTCCACTAAAACATCATTCGTTTTGACATTTTAAAAAATCCAACCTTCATTAAATGTAATATAAAAGTTTTATTTCGCAAAGAAAAATGCTGTTTATGTTTTCTAAACAGTTGCAAAATTTTGCTTTAAAAGTCTTTTAAATATTGAAAATACAAAATAGAAAAAAAATGAGTTAAAAATTAACATAATAAGAATAAAACCAAATTGAATTTGCTAAATAAATAACCTTTACGTCCGAAATATAATTTTACTATCCAAAACCTGTATAGTGTATATCAATTAAGAATTATTGATTTATTATAAATATTTGCTTAGTTCTTGATAAATTAGGAGGCTTTGTAATAATTTAATGAACATTTCGACTATAAAAATCTATTTAGAGGATGATGAAACAAATAACAGATAATAAAGCAATTTACAATTTCAATTTAAATGATCATTAAACACTTAAAATAAAATCAAAAATAGAGTATTTAGGAAATTAAAATTTTGAAATAAACAGCATATTTAAAAGTTGAAATTAAATAAACAAAAAAAAAATGCTTAGAATCATGAAAGCACCTTTAAAATAAGTGTCCCACTAAAAGTCTAAGAAAATGTAACTCAAAAATGGTAATCAGATTTCCAAGAGTGGCATCTTAGGGGATCAAATTACTTCTTGAGATTTGAAGCATGTTATAGAATCAATTTTCAGTAGGGAAAAGAGTTAATTGCTCTTTTGAAAGGCCAGTACCTCCTTGAGTGCCTATTTAAGGCCAAAAAAGCAATTATTGAATTTTTGTAAACACTTTTTGATAGGCTCGTTTTTTCCTTTGATCTCGTTACAATATAAATTTTTAGAAAATAAAACAACAAATTTTTTCAAAAATAATGGGTTTTACCTTCATAATTATTGAAAGATGTGTACCCTAATGGAAAAGGGGCTTAGAAGCAAACCCCTCTTTACATTCATCGATGAATGTTCTCAACAGATAAATATTTAATTTATTGTATTGTGTTGCAGATATTGGGTATATCTTTAATACTGCAACTGTTATATGCTTTTGATAAAACAAAAAAATTTCTTTGTGACTAAATTTTATAACATTATTGAACATTATTGTACTATAATGTAGAATAGTACAGTAATGAATAGAGGATTAACCAATAACTTTACCACACATTAAAATAATTTTAACATACTTTAAAGACACTTCAATTTCCTAACACTTTACCAACTTGTGAATTAAAATTACCTAATCAGGCAGAAAACACATGTGTTCAAAATTTACACATGAATAATTAAAAATTTTCAAGAGAGGAAAAAAGACAATAGTTAAGATTATATGGCTAACATAAACAATGAAGTTGTTGAGTTTATAAGAAATCGAATAGTTAATGACATTTTTTTCAAAACTTAAAATCTATTCTAAAAATATTTAAATGAAAATATGAACATTAAAAAACTAAACACTAAAAATAAAGTACAAGCAAGCGTTGAAAAAATTTTGACAAATCATAGAAGTTAATATATACCATAGACATTTAAAAAAATTATAGTGATTAATAATTTTAAAACTTTGTGTACCTGCTAAGCGAGTTAGGCTTAAGATATTTAACTAAAATAGTTGTACCACACATAAATTTAAAAAATAATAATAATTTTCACAATTTTATAAATCAATTTTAATTAGCATAATAATATAAATTTTACAGTTTCATATAGGTCAGCGAACGTAGGGCGTGATTCAAAGTTCTACATAATCAGAATGGTGTACCCTCCTGAGCTACTTCCACGGAGCGGTACAGACGGTACACGGTAGAAACTGCGCGGGAGAAGTTATGTGTGTACCCATTCGATGACAACAGTTTTCACTTCATTAAAAATCTATCAAATACTACATGTCAATGAACTCTTACCTTCAAAATCAATCCTACAGGTATTGCACAAATATAAATAAAGATTTGAAAGTGCCACCAAATACCGGCAAATTCATATTTAAATTTTCGGAGACTAACACAAACTCTTCGTCGTCCTTACCAACATGGCGATCTTGAGTCACGTGACCATAGAAGATTTTTTTTTTCCACCTTTCAGTTATAATGGTTACAACAAACGAATAGAAGGTTTCACAGCATGCCACGTGACAGACCCGACTATACAGCCAATGAAATACTTAAGAACCGAGTTCGACCCGGATAATCAGATATATGGATAACCTCGTCCTCAAATCTGTCTAACACCAAGCCGTTGACAGGTTAAAGTTTCTGACCACTGGTAATTTGAATACTTTGAATCAACATACGTAACTTTGAATAATTTGAAACGTATAAATTCAAAAATACAAGACATCCGTTTTAAGTTCAGAGTTCCATACTTTGTTCCATAGATTTAAGTTAGTATCATAGTTATAATCAAATAAACAAATCGTTTTCACCTAACTGAATCGAAAGGAAAAGTTGAAACACTCATATAAGAGCAAAAAATTTTCGTAATTTTCTTTAATAAGAAATAGAGATTAACTACCATGAATTATATATTCATACTACAGTCACACTAATTTATGCTATTGGTAAAAACAGTAGATGAACTTGAAAGAGAAACTAAAACACTATTTATTCAATAATATTAATACTACTAGGTTTTATTAATAAGTTGAATTATCGGTGGACTAATAAAAGATAATGACATTAATTTATAATTTGAAGTTAGCTTCAATTAAGATTAAGATAGGGGCCGCTACAGTCGCAGTAAAAGTTTGTGTAACACATTTTGAATCATGGGCGTCTCTACAATGATAGTTCCTCATTTTTGTTTAATACGAGAAAAATAAAGTTTTTTTTTTTTTTTTTGAAAATAACTTCNGTTTTTTTTTTTTTTTTTGTTATTATCTCCGAGGTTACGATTTAATCAATGATAGCGAACTCCAAATCATTCAAGGGCCGAGTAAGCAATTTTCAAAATTTATTAGAAAAAAAAATATTAATCTTTATAAATAGGGAAGAAATATTAGGAATAAAAACTAGGAATTAAAAATTGTTTTCCTGACCGGGATTAAGATATACTTTTTAAATACATTTTTTACTATTTTCATTACAAGAACTGGTACCTGTTGTTACCCATCTCTGGATTAAATTCTTTTTTATTATTTATTAATTAATAAATAATAAAAAAACGATAATATGAGGGAGTATGGCCACTCTCTAGCAACAAAAATCTACGGAAATCTATCTAAATAGTCATCAAAATTTTGAAAAATGTTCTTTACTATTGAACTAGTGAATTAAAAAAACTAATTGCCCTAATGACTAAATTTTCAAAACTACTCTATGACTGTACAACTTTTTTTTTCCGGATGAAGTTTTTTTTTTTTTTTTTTGTAATTTTATTTTTGAAGGCTACAAAAAGTACGGGGGATTTTTTTTTTTGAATTTTTATAATTTTATTTTCATTAATGTGTTATTTTTTGTTCATGATATTTTTTGTTCAAATTTTAAATTGCATGTATAATTTCTTTCGCCTATTTTCGCAAAAGTCGCTTTCTTCTATTTTTTTAAATTTTTTAATTCAAAATTACCCCCAAAGAGTGTTATATTAAATATACAATTTAAATTTGAAATCAATAGGTGGTTCGACTCAAAAAATGCAGCCAATCCAAAATTAAAATAAATAAATGTTGCCCTTTCTGTTCATTTTTATAAGCCTTTAGGTATTTCATTTTAAAATATTAAGGCACCTCCTAACTAGAAAAGAAACAAATATTTTTTTTTTAAATGTAAATACACATGATCGTGGAGTGATTAAACCACTTTCGAAATATTTTTTAAGTTAAATTGCAATTTTAATGTTTCTTTAAGAAATTATTTTATCAAAAATTCGAAAATGTTCTTTCTCGTTAAATAGTAACTATTGTATGTATAAGAATAATCTTATATATAAAAGAATAAAGAAGAAACACACTTCCTCCTACAATATTTTTTTTTCTTTCTTTTTAAGCTTCCAAAAAGTTAATTTTATTATTGAAAATGTAAAACTAAAAATTTTTAAGGCATAATGTTACAAATAATATCATGATTATTACTTATACATAAATGATATTTCGAAAACCACTTATTTAAAATTAAAAAAAAAAAAAGCAATGGGACGATTCGGACATAATTTAAATACTATTACTAGCTTATAATTATAGTTATTTAATGTAGTTAATGGAACAATATGAATTTTCTGAAGTATAATTTTTTTTCAACGTGGTGTTTAATTTTCAATCTGCATTTTCTTTCTGTCACAAGTTTTCCCCTCTTTTTTTGTATGGTTTTAATTTATTTTTGTTTCATAATGTTCAAATTGTATGAGGGTCTTGGAACATGTTTTGAATTCAAAATTTAGATTCCGATTTGTGTACAAGTTTATAGCCTAGTTGGGCCCATGTTCAAGAGGTCGTGAGTTCGATCCCAGCCAACCGAAGTAAATCGTGACTGGTACATGCTAAAGGGTCACAAAGTCATCCATGTTACCCATAACAAATCATAACTTTGGAAGTACTGAATTGGAGATTGATCGTTCTCTGATTCACGTCATAAATATGTTCTCTGGATGAATGAATAGTACAAATTGCTCCGTCTATAAACGGGCTGTGACGTATGTGTCACTGAAGTCGTATTCTTGGCCATAGGTGGAAAACAAGAAACGCATCCGCTGCCTTAAATTCACTTGGTTTCACAAATTAGGCTTGCTGGTATTGACAATGGCATTAGAAACAACAACATAGCTTCTATTCATTTTTCAGGTTGTCATAAGTAATCATTTAAGTACTGTTTTAAAAATTAGTTGTACGTTAAGTGTTTATTAAAAATTCTTTTTGCTAGGTTATCGTAAGTAATAATTTAAGCAGTGTTGAAAAGTTAGTCTTACGTTAAGTATTTATTTGGAATAATTAAGCATTTTTATAGAAATAAAATCTTATTTATGAAGCTATTTAAGTTAATTTTAAGCATAAATGGTACTATGGTGTCATCTCGAATGATTGGTATGATAGTACCAATCATTGGTGTTTGACTTTTTTGATCAATAACGTATACAAATTATAGGTGAGGCAAAATTATAGAAACAATCCCATACTAATTCTATGTAAACAATATTTCTTTTCACAAGAAATGTTTAAAAATATTTTGCATGGCAAATCTGTTGGCACAACTTAATTTTTGAATTTAAGAATTTTTTTTAAAGTTACTTCTTTTTTAAACCCAAAAACTTTTAAAACTATTTTTATTTTAAAAGAAAGAACAAAGTCTTATCTAATTCTAAAATATAAAAGCTTTAAAAAATTCATATAGTTTATAAATAATTTTACAAAATATTACGATTATNAAAAAAAAAAAAAAAAAAAAAAAAAAAAAAAAAAAAAAAAAAAAAAAAAAAAGACATTTAATGACTTTTTTTCTGAATTTGTTACAATTTAAACTCGATGAAACAAAATGCAAGTGTTATCTTTTTAGATTATAATTGTAGTTATTTAATTTAGTTGATGCACATTTAATTGCTTTGTAATTATAATGATTATTTATCAACATTTTACGTCAGAAGCTTTCAACATTATTTTTATTTACTAGGGGGCTTCTGTCTCCTCTTTACTCCATTCACTGCAATTAACTGCCTCTCATTCATCTAAGTTTTTCATTATTTTTGAAGTCGACATTTTTAAAAATATCTTCTTTTTTTTGTATAACATTTGTAATTTAATGAAGAGCTGTAATTTAATGAAGGAACATTTTGTTAATATATATTAATCGCAGCAAGTGGATGATTACCAGGAACCGATCAAGACAAATTCAGGCCCTAGGCCCACCAAATTTTCCGGGCTCCTTACAAAATATTTTGAAATTAAATTTCTGAAGAATAGTCCTAACAATAAAAAAGAATCGATTGAACTGCATGATTCAAGATAAACATTCTAAGAAATTTTGAAAACAGACAATTGAAGATTATTTTTCTAAGATAAAGTTTACGCATCTATATATTAAAGCAAAATATAAAACAATGTTGTGTCAAAATAAAAATAGTTTGGTGACCACAAACATTTGAAATCAGTGATCATTGCTAAAAATCACTGATTCGCTGAATTATTTTTTATTGTAAGCTGTAATCATTTTTTTAGTACTCAAACCTACACAAAGCTAGCCGACTTTTCATTAGATTTAAGGATAAGTTCAACATATATGCTAAGATATTAAGGTTATTAATTATAATTTTTATTAAAATATACACGCAGAAAATATCCAAAAGGGTCAAAATTATAGCTACTCATAGAAAATTATAAACGCATTTAAATAATAATTTATTTAAATATAACACTTAAAAAAAAATTAAAATTCATATTCACTTAAGCCGTTGACGTAAAAATTGCACCAATTCTAATTCAGCTGTACTTTNAACTTTTTTTTTTTTTTTTTTTTTTTTTTTCTTCCAGTATTTAAAAAAAAAATAGTATTATTGCGGACTTTTTGATAGTTTTTGAGAGCCCCCAGAAAGTGTGGACATTTAAAAATTTCGATATAAATGTTTAGATCCAACAGCATCGAAACTTTATTACTCTTATTTATTTATTTATTTAATTTTTTTTGTTGTTACTTTTGACATCAAGTTAAGCTTATGAAACGAAGATTTTAAGAGAGAGAAATAAATTTTTCTTTAACAACACGTAAAAGTAAAGTAAATACGTAAACATTATGTATTGCGAAGAAAAGCACTTTCGAGAAATTACTTTAAAATAAAACGGAATTTTGAGGGGGGGGGGGGGAAGAATCGCATTTAATACAAAAATTAAAGTAAACCTTTCAGAGCCTCAAATTTCAATTGGGTATACTATAGCCTACGTCACAGGTTGTGTTATTCCTAC